CTGCCGTGAACCTGCTGCGGTGGTCGGACGCCTGCATGTCAGCCGTGCTCCCGTGCGCGGGGCAGGGCCGCCGTGTCATCCCCAGGGGCGGGGAAGGGAAGGGTTTAAATTGGGTGCTTGCTTCAGCTGCTCATCCTGGCTGAGAGGCAGCGGGAGGAGGAGAAGGACCAGAGCCTGCCAGGGAGCCAGCCACTCCGGATACGTGCCCAGCAGGTAGGACAGAGCCCAGCTGGGGGGGCACCGGGGCTGCTTCAGCAGGCACCCCCCGAGCAGATGCCAGGAGCCTGCAAGGGATGCGGGGACCTTGCCCCTACCCCAAACCTAGTGCTGGGGGGAAGCTGCTGAGGCCCAGGGGAGCAGGAGGTCTCCAGGCAGGACTCGGTCCTTTCCAAGAAGGCACAAAGTGACGGAGTGGCACCCGGGCTGGATGGGGCCGCTGCTCCATGCGATGCACTTTGTGTCCTCAGTGCTGCAGCTGAGCAGACCGGGACACTGGGATATGGGAGGGAAGGAACCGGAGCTGTGGGAGCCGCCTGAGCCCGCAGGCACCCCAGACGGGAGGCTGCAGGCTCAGGCGGGGGGCTCGGCCAGGAGCCCTGCGGCCGGAGCCTGCGAGGCGAGCACCAGGATGGGGGGCTGACGCGATTTCGCTCCCCGGGGTGCAGGCAGGGCTAGGGACCACGGCACCGCCAGGCCACCCCTGCTCACCCTGGCTGGAAAACTGCTTCCAGTGGGGACTGCACTGGGCTGGGCTGCTGCGACAGCTTGAAAGGACAGCCAGCCCCTGCCCCAGGAGCTGCGTGTGCAGCCAAGCCCCAGCATCGGGAGAGCTGATTAAAGACCGGCTAATGATAGCTTGCGGTTGGGCAATGTCTTTCCAGTATAGGGTGTTTACACGGCATCCATGTCCTACATAGGTGTCGCCTGCGCCAGGGTGTGACGGAGCACTCCGCTTTGTCCTGGACGGAGCGCCTCTGGAGAAGGCAGCACAACCAGCCCGTCGCCTCCTGGGGGGGTCTCAGCTGGGGCGGGCAGAGGAGCTGGGGCCACAAGGTAGGCCGGAGCCGCTGGCTCTAAAAGAGCCTGAAGCCATGGGCAGGGTCCCGAAAGAGGCAGGGGCTGGTCCCTAAGTGCTGCGTTACACCTCTCCCCTGCCATGATCCATCAACGCCAGCATCAATCCGATATTTAAATGGATCAAAAGCAATGACTCAGAGACTTTTGGACCAGTTAGGTGAACAGTCAGAGAGTTAAGCTGTGCCCCTGATAATGACTTAAGCGTGTCATTAACGTCAGTCACTGTCGTTTATGGGAGATGGGTGTTCCCAAAGAAATGTTTTGGGGTTCCTTTCTGCTGTTCTTACAAAGCCTGTGGCCTCATCGCCTCGCAGTCTTGTGAGGGAGCTTACAGGGTGCAGACGTCCATCAAGGATTGCTGCACAGACCCCAGCTGCGCCCCGCTCGCGGAGCCCACCAAGCTGGAGATGGGCAGAAGGTGACGCAGAAACCGGGGAAACACCACGCACGCTGCCCCGTTCTCCAGCCTTCCCCCGCTGCCCACTTACGGCTCAAGGTGGAAACAAGGGGTCGAGTCCCCAGCCCTGGGGGGATTTAACAGCCGGGCAGCCGTGGAGCTTGGGGACAGGGTTTGGGGGTGGGATGGCAGGGGTAGGGGGACAGTTGGGCTGGGGGATCCTAAAGGTCCTTTCCAACCCAAACAATTCTGTGATTCTAAGACTCTCGGCTGCACGGGCCCTTGGCCCGACTCTGCGTGGCCGTTCCGATGCCTGCTGGAGAACGCGGCTGCCATCCTCATCCACTTCATCCTCATCCACTTCATCCTCATCCACTTCCTCCTCATCCACTTCCGACAGCACGAGCAGCATCTTGATTAAGAGCGCTGCCTTTGGGGGAGCAGGGGGGGCGAGGGCACCCGCTGGACTGAGCGTGACGGGTCACACGAACTGCATAGCGCGTGCCCAAACGGGAGAGCCCGCAGCCGGCAGCCGCGTGCGGCAGGCTCCCAGGCACCCGCGTGGTCCCTCATGACTGCCCAGTTTTTATTCTTATAGACACCTATGCATGCATAACTTTATCCACCGTTTCGCGTACATAACAGTTAGCCAGTAACAAAGGCCAACAACGGGGGTCTGCAGCTTGCAGTGGCTATCGGCAGCGGCCCAGGGCAAGCCCGGCCCAGGACATCGGTGGGGCCGTGTGCCAGAGGGCTGGGCCAGGGGCAGCATCGCTCTCTACCATCCTGTTCCTAGAGCAGGTCCCCTAAATGCCTGGAGAGAGCACCCCGACCCTGTTGCAGGGGGAGCACTCCACCAGACAAACCCTCCCATCGACTCCATGCACCAGTCCAGGCTGGGGCTGACCTGCTGGGAAGCAGCTCTGCCCAGAGGGACCTGGGAGTCCTGGGGGACGACAAG